TGGCAACAAGAACGCCTGGCAAAACACCGTTCTTACACCAACTACAATTGCAAGTAGCACCAACAGGCGATCAGTCTCGAGTCGGTCCAGACATCTCTGCCGCCAACTCACTTTCAACTCATAAAAACGCTGCTCAATCAAGATAAACATAACATTTACGCGCTCCTGGTATGCAACAGTAATACTACTACCACATATTTGCACCAACGCCACCACCAACAACAAAAAGAATCATATACTGTATGTATCATCAGTATTGCTGATGAGTAGCGCTAGTATTGGATCAACGCTCAGTGGCCAGTGTTCAGTTATTGGTCCAGTGCATCCTTTGATCTACTAAGCAACGCTTATGCGCCAGTTAGTGATGTCTGGTGAACAGCACCTCAAGCGTGTGTGCGTTTATACAGTACCAGCAGTTGAATAAAGGAATCCATAGTGTATGGTTCTTCTCAACCGCCACAAAAGCCAACATTTATCCGCATTTATTTATTGCATTAATGCGTCGAAATGTTGCGCTTTAGCAGGGGGAGCTTAAGATCAACCACGGACCCCTCAGCCTCACATTTTTCAGGGCCTCAAGCAACACTTTGAACGCAACCTAAATACTGTGTGTACGTGTATGTACGCTAGCGAGTCCTTTGTTACTGCTCACTATCCTCGTAACATATATACCATAGTGTTATGATTATTATTTTCTCATTCACCAGCGGCTGTGTTTGGTTTGCTCAGCAATGTCTGCCGCTTGACTACCGCTTGGTGGTCGCCTGTGTTGCCACTTAGTGCGTATGCTGTTTATTTGTTGTTAACTCTCTTCATCGACCTGTTAAAATTCAACCGCGCATGAAAATCTTATTGAATCGCCTGCAGTCAAAAGCGGACTTCAGCGCACATTTGTATATACCCACATATGTATGCACATACACTTGTCATAAATGGAGTATGATCGGTGTGTAACAGTATAGACGTCGTCTTAATGGCGTAAAGTTGATAATTCCTATGCACATAAAATATCGCTAGGCTTATGAGCACACTGTCGTCAGTGCGTGTAAATATATGTACGTATATATGAAGGGATTTAAAACAGATCCTTTCCTTGTTGTGAAGTAAAAGTATTAATCAAATTTTATACAAAGGTCTACGCTATACTAATTGTAGATAATTGACAAAGTCATACACTGAACATAACGAAAATAATTGTACAATACTTCAGAGAACTCAGTTTGAGGAGTGTAATATCTTAGTTTTGAATATTATTTTGTTTTTGACTCCAAAAAATTTTTAGATTCATAAATAGAAGAATAGAATACTTAGACTATTTAACTGAAGTGAGCAGTAAGGTTACTTCGTGAAAACAAGACCCACATTTACGATTTTTCTTGACGAAACAGTAAAAAATATTTTCAAAATTCAATGGTACATAAAAGTATGAAATTTCAAGAATATTCTGTTAAACTTTCATTTGGAAATATTATAAAGTACCGCAGAGGCAGCAATTATTCTGGAGCGTGACAGAAAAAAGGTGAATTGTGGTGCCCTCATAAGGATCATATGAAATTAGAAAAGCAAAATTATATCGTTAGACTATCGCTTTGCTAAAGTAACGAGGGTGATTTTTTGAAATTTAGTTTAAATTTGAGAAAACTTTAAATGAAAACAAAAAAAAAACGTTAACATCGGTTGCACTGAAGCTAAATACCCTTCACAGGTGCATTTCTGTTAGTAACCATGTTTTCAGTTTGTATGGAGCTATATATGCTGTAGTAATCCGTTCGGAATAGTTTTTTTGGTTTATTGTTACCATAAGCAGTAATCCATGCCAAATTTCGTGACGATACGACGCCAAATTCGAAACTTTTCCATACAAGCCCTTGATTCCGATCGTTCGGCTTGTATGTCAGCTATATGCTATAGTGAGCCGATCTGAACAATTTCTTCTGATATTACATTACTTCTATAAACAATAACTCATACCCAATTTCGTGAAGATATATCGACAAATGAGGAAGTTTCTCATGCAAGCATTTGATTGCGATCATTCAGTCTGTATGGCAGCTACATATATGCTTTAGTTAACCGATCTGAACAATTTCCTCGGAATCAACATTATTGTCTTAGAAAATAATCTGTACCAACTTTCGTGAATATATCTTGTAAAATGTGAATTCTTTTCATACAAAAGCTTGATTCCGATCATTCAGTTTGTATGGCAGGTATATGCTATAGTTAACCGATCTGAACAATTGCTTTGAAGACAACATTATTGTCTTAGAAAATAATCTGTACCAAATTTCGTGAGTATATCTTGTAAAATGTGAATTATTTTCATACAACATTATTGTCTTAGAAAATAATCTGTACCAAATTTCGTGAGTATATCTTGTAAAATGTGAATTATTTTCATACAAAAACTTGATTTCGATCATTCAGTTTGGATGGCAGCTATATGCTATAGTTAACCGGTCTGAATAATTTCTTCGTAGAAAACATTATTGTCTTAGAAAATAATCTATAACAAATTTCGTGAATATATCTTGTCAAATGTGAAAGTTTTCCATACAAGAACTTGATTCCGATCGATCAGTTTGTATGGCAGCTGTATGATATCGGCATTTCCGACAAATGAGCAGCTTCTTGAAGAGAAAATTAAATTTGCAAAATTTCAAAATGATATCTTAACAAGTAAGGAAGGGCTAAGTTCGGGTGTCACCGAACATTTTATACTCTAGCATCAAATACCGTATTTGTGCAAAGTTTTATTATGCTATCATCATTGGTTCCTAAGGTATATATTATACAGAGAAGGCATCAGATGGAATTCAAAATAGCGTTATAGTGGAAGAAGGCGTGGTTGTTAACCGATTTCACCCATATTTCGTACATGTCATCAGGGTGTTAAGAAACTATTATGTACCGAATTTCATTGAAATCGGTTGAGTACTTCCTGAGATATGGATTTTGGTCCATAAGTGGGCGACACCACGCCCATTTTCAATTTTTAAAGAAAGCCTRGGTGCAKCTTCTTTCTGATATTTCTTCCGTAAAATTTAGTGTTTTTGACGTTTTTTGTTAGTCGGTTAACGTACTTTTAGTGATTTTCAACATAACCTTTGTATGGGAGGTGGGCGTGGTTATTATCCGCTTTCTTCCATTTTTGAACTGTAAATGGAAATGCCTGAGGAAAACCCTATAGAGTTTGGTTGATATAGCTATAGTAGTTCCGACTCTTTTTAATTTCAAATATTAATGCCGTTGGCGGTATCGGGTAAAATTGGCATTAAAAGTATTATTTCTTTTTGGAGTTAAAACCATCAAATGAGGTTCGCATTGCAAAAATATGACCCATAAAATTTTACGTAACCGTATTTAGATGAACCAAATGAAATAACATTTGTTCAAATGTATTTTTGGAAGTTGCTTAGACTAGATAAATTGTACGATTGTTTTTTACAGGTATAGAATTTCCTTAAGGGATAGCGGTCAAAGTGATATCAAAGTAAACCCATGGTTTTGACATTTATTTTCAGCACACTTTATAAGTTACCAAACCAGGTCTTCACCGCAAACACGGTAGTCAATTATTCAAAATTCTAGTCAAACACTATTTGTCATAAATCTTGCGAGCTAAAAAGCCAAATACTTATAATGTAATAATTCAATTAATTTCAATTATTTCAACTAAGTTTGATTTAGAAAATGGTGAGTCAATTGTTTTAATAGCGAATTTCTATCAAATACTCGTAACTTAGGTCTTCATAAGATTCATATTTTTTCTTAAGTAGAACGCGATCTTTTTTATTCCAACTCATTTTTAAGCTCAATATTTTTCCACTCATTCTCATTTGAATACTTTTCAATAAACATAGTATTTGTAACATTTTTTGGACACTAATAGCTAACTGATTAAATAAACATCTTCTTTTACTTACTCTTAATAAAGCTCAAATGCAATTCTCAGCCTAACGGAGTGGGTGACATACATACAGCTTTACGAAAATATATTTAATAATATGTAAATATAAATAAAAAAAATATTTGCTCTAGCAAATATTTTGATTTTCTGACATTCTCAAATTTTCTTTTGCTAAATAATTTAATGCTCACCGCTTTATCGAAATTACACCTTTGAAATAGTTAGTCTCTTAAATGTAGGTTCACTTGTGTAGCCCAACTTTTAGATGGCATATTGTCATACATCATTCTATATTCTTTTGATACAATTTTATATATGAATAAAATTATTTTTTTTTTCAAACAATATCTTAATTTTTTAAAATATTACTATAGTTAAGAATAATTGACATCAATCAGGCGAATCGACCAGAAACTTGTACTTCCTCAGAAAATCAGCTAAGGCCTGAAAGCCACCTGAACAGAGAGAGAAAATGGATTTTAACGGTTTTAACGGAGGAGATCAAAAACTAAGAGATTACATTGATACATAGTGAAGTACTTAACGAATACGCAAAACTTCGACACACTATGTTAGGACCGACAAAACTTGGGTAAATCGTATTCTGAAACAATTCGTTTGTCAGTTTAACGAGATATGCAACAAAATTGTAAGCTTCAATGAAAATCAGTAAAAAGTCATTAATTGAAGGTATAGGAGGGAATCAAAACCTGTGATTATTATGAGCAGTGACATATATATAAAATAAAATTTGTATGTTGTAAAGTCTGAGTCGGACGCAGTCTTTACTTTTTTCGAAATTATTGGAGATTTTTCGTCATAAATCCATTATAACTCGTGCATATTTCTAATTGTGCAATGCATGTTTATTATTAATACTGAAATTCAGAGTTTAAGCATTATGCGGTTATCATAAGTTTTGAAAATCGCATAATTACTTCAATCAATTCACGCTCAATCTATTTTCGCGACGCCTTTTTAGTTTCACACCAGAACAACAATTTTAGCTTTAGCTTGATTTCGCAATTAGTCTAATGTATTTCCGAATGACTGACGAGTAATTTCCTCCTCTTCTATTTGTTACTTTTAGTATCATCATCATGTCTACTCATCGAGGATATCCGACGGGACGAAAAGACGTACAAAGACATTGCCAACACAATAACAAATCTAAGTCAACAGAAAAATCGCTGGTCCAATACAACTGTCAATAATGTACTCAATAGTCATCTGCATCATACAGCGGCGGCGGCGGCGGAGAAAAATTCGCGTGATGAAACCGATTACCATCGACCAACGAGCAAACAACAATTACAGCATCAGCAGCAGCAGCAACAGCAACAGAAACAGAACAATATCTCTAGTTTGAGACCAAAGTCATTACCATTGGCAGCGAATTCGACGCCTGCCATTGTTTCGGCCATAGTCAAGAAGATACCGCCAGTTCTATCGACATCCAACAGCAACGGCAACAATAACAATAATATGAATACTAATAACAATATTACAGCATCAACAAATGATGGCAGCAATAAGAACAACAATAGTACAAATGAAATTGGAAAGGGGGTTGTTGGCGGTATTGGTCTGGGCAGTAATAAGTGCAAATCTAGTCCACGATTGCAATTACAATTGAAAAATCTACAACAGAAACATGAAAGCAATCAGCACCGGCAGCAACAACACTTGCAACCATCTAAACAACAGCAGAGGCAACAACAGGCGCACGAAAGAGGCGATCCGGATGGCGGCTGTAATCTTGACGATCTTTCCACCAACTACCTGGCCAAGACGGCAGAGTTACGTGTCAATCCGCCTGCTGAGGAGTCACTCAACACCAAAAAGGGCTGGTTAATGAAGCAAGATAACCGCACCGGCGACTGGACGAAGCATTGGTTTTCACTGAGCGGTGCGGCACTCTTCTATTATCGTGACCCGGTGTCAGAGGAACGTGGCGTGCTAGATGGCGTGTTGGATGTTAATAGTCTAACCAATGTAGCGGAAGTTAGTGCCAGTAAGAGTTATGCCTTCCAGCTGACATCCTGGGATCAACGGCGTCTCATTTTGGCAAGTCTTTCGCCCAGCTCACGCAATAGTTGGATTGCCATATTACGAAATATTGCCGGTTTGCCCGCCCTGCTATCGACCAACAACAATACGAACAACAGTAGCCAGCCGCTAACAGATGCTGATGTGCCACCAACAGTGGAATTGCTTATCAAAGATGGCGTCGTAACACCAAATATTAAAAGTGAAATTGAGAAAGATTTTATTAAGGCCCAACGCAATCACGAATTGCACAAAAAACCGCCAGCAGCTCCAAAGCATAATCATCAACATCTGAGTGAATCTAGTCCGCCCGCTACACAACAGGTTGGTTTGCAATCCAACAACAGCACTTTAACTAAACCTCTGGTTTCCACAACTGTCTCTACACCAAAACCCACACATTTCTCTTCAGACGAGGAGTATCGTACCGCCTCTGAGGGCGGCCGACGAGACAGTGTTGACTGGGGTTCTCCGCTTTCACCTTCTCCGCCAATTACAACTTCGATTTTACGAAATCGCGATCGTTTATATGCTCGTGCAGCAGCTTCAACGGATGCAAGGTCACACAAGCGTAGTCATTCTTCGCCACCGACGTCTCGTCGTAGTACTGTGGATAGCGTTGGTTCGGATGAGCTTTCGCCACCACCTGTAATGCATCCTGTACAGGAGGAACTAAGCATTGATAAAGAATTACAATTCCGCCTCAGCGTAGCGGAGAAAGAGCGCAATATGCTGCGCGATGAAGCCAAAGAACGGGAGACGCGCATGTCTGAATTGTTAACTACACTGGAACGCACAGAGCAACAGCTGAATGCGCGCTTGCATGAGATGGAGTTGGTACGTGATAATCTAACCGCGCAGCTGGAAGAGACAAAACGCAATGCCGAGGATATTGTCGATCGGTTGACGGACGAGTTGGAGGAGAGTCAAAAGAAGATAAAAGATCTTGAAGATCGGCTAGCGCGTGGAATTGACGAAAATGAAGCGCTCTACAAGCGTGTACACGAATTGGAAGGTAGCAGTTTGAATAGCTTCAGCCAGCTGAACCGGGGAAAACTTAAGCGCATGGACTCGTTGAGTGACCTCACCCAGATCGGTGATATTGATCCATTTGCATTAGAGCGCGATCCCCTTGCTGATGAGTATAATGAATTGCGTACTCGTTTTGAGAAGGCTGTTAACGAGATTAAGGCAATGAAGCGTGAACTGAAGGAGTCACAAAATCAATTTGATTCGTTGGAAATATCGTATGCAGCGCTTAAGCAAGATCTTGAACGCAAGGAGATTGAAGATCGTGCACAAGTGCAGATGATGGCGGCACGTATACAGGATTTAACATTAAAGTACAGCGGCTCGGAGCGCCAAGTGCGTACGCTAAAACAAAAGATGGCTAAGTCAGAGCGTAGAAGATCACTTTCACTCAAAGGTAAAGAGCAGTTAAGTATACCCAAAGAATTAGAAATAAAAGTATGCGAGTTGGAGGCGAAAATCGATGAAATAGAAAAGCTGAATGGTGTGAACTCAGAGCCAATTCGTACAGTTTGCAAAAAATCTTCAAGAAGACGTTCACTTGAGAGTAACGCTAGCAATAGCGATCCTCTTCAGTTCATGTTACGGCTGAATGATTTAGAAAAACGTTTAGATGATACGTCAGCTGCAGGTTCCATTAGTTCTACCTCTACGCCCACACCCTCATGTAATACTCCAACTATTGAAAATTCAACATTGAACTCTGCTAAAATTTCTGAGCATTTACTCGATCGACTGCGTTGTCTTGAAAGTGTTTTGGTAACAAGTCGAGATCGCCTAGAAAAAAGCCTGCATCAGTTACAAAACCTACGCTCTTCCCATAGCCGCCGCTCCGTATCACCTATCACCGATCGGAAAGATTCGTACCGTTTAGTGGAACGTTGCCTCAGCGAGGTCGTAAAATTGATTCGCGAATCTTGTGAAACTTGTGTAATCAGTGGAAGTAGTGGCGACAAATATGCGGTGCCTAATGTAATGCTGCTGCCTGATTCGAATCCGGTGAAGATTGCGCTAACACAGTTAGAGTCACAGTTGCGTACCAAACTGGCAGAGCTACTCAAGCAACGTCGTGTGTTGCGTGAGCGAAACGAGCTAACTGACCGCAAGAATATGGAACTTTTAGCAGAGCGTGTGGCATTTGAAAGTGTATGCTTTGGTAAACTACGTGACTCAGTCATGCGAGCCGAAAACCCCGAACTCTTCTGTGAAAAGCAAACACGTACGGAAGTAGCGGAGACGTCTCACCTAATGACGATGCTTAAAGCTAAGCTAAGTGGTAAATGTGCGCTTAAGTCCAGTGGCACAATCGACATTTTGGCTGGAGTATTGGCACGTAGACTGATGCTATCTAACTATCGAAAGGTAACAACCAACAGAGAAATGCTTGATCCTGTCGATAAGAATATCATGGAAGACTTGCTCAGACAACAGAATGAAATCAATCTTATAGCTAAACGTTACAAAAACAATGCCATGGAGAATTTAGCGAGTGGATTAGCGGCGGAAACCTTGAGTTATATCTCTTCAAATGACTTAGTGCAAGGAGCTGTACAAGAAGCTTGGCGGCAAGCGCAAGAGACGGTAAATGCTGAACTAGTGCAATCTGAAATTGCGCACATTATGTTGCGTAATGCGGAACGCTTTGAGCAATCACTTACACCTTCATTTGGTTATACGCTCACCGCCGAGGAACGGCTTTCATTCGAGAAATTCGCTGATGCTGTGCATGATGCATTGCGTAAAGAGATGGAATTGGCTGTTGCACAGCTCACACAATGCTACAAAGAGGCCATACAAAAGATGAAGCGCGGTCAATGGCGTCTGCAATTGGAACAGGAGCGTAAAATATCGGAAGGCCGGCAGTTGCTTTCCGATTTTGCGGATATAATTGCACATAAAGCGCTAGTAGATGCGCGTATAACTGTTTTGCGTGGTGAATATGTCGAACAACAGTTGGCTAAAGAGAATCCCGATCATGCACAAAAGGAATGTCAGGGAAATAAAATCGGTATTACTGCACTGCAACGATACGAGAGTCTCTTTGAGGAACTTTCAAATGATTTGCAGATCAACAACGCCGCCGATATACTAGCCGATGCTGATTTTGAATTCATCTATAAGCAGCATACAATTGATTTTCTGAACGATCGACAGGTGTTATCGGAAATATCTACGTTCCTCAGTCAATTGGAGGATTCGCTAATAGCGTTGCAATGTGAGGCTTCAGCCTCTACAACGTCCATACCACGCTCAACCGTGTCTATTGAAAGTTTACAAGATGTTTGTCACAAATGTGGGGATTTACGGCAACGTGCTGATCAACTCTGCCAGGAGATACACCGCGCTCTCAACACACCCTGTCAGCATTGTCGTCAAGTTCACGAGAAGCTGCTGCGATTGCAGCAGCAGCATGAAAACGAACTTTTGCAACTACAACAGGCTCATGCCAAAGATAAGAGTACATATATGCAACAACTGGAGAATCAACGTAATGCCTTCAAACAGATCGAGACAGAAAAGGATGCTGTCAGTGCTGAACTGCATTATAGCAATGAACTGTTGGAGCAGCGAGCAAGTGAGCTGGCAACTGTTAATGACAAATTGCACACCAAAGAGCAAGAGTTGCGAGGCAAACAGGACGATCAATTATCCCTCTTGCAGCAACTTGAGGAGCAGACCGAGAAAGCACGAACTCACGAGGAGGAGAGCAATGCTTTAGTGGAGAAATGTGCTCGACAGGATGAAGAGTATGCGGTATTGCTACAAGAACGTGACTATCTACAGTCAGAACTTACTAAAGAGAAGGAACGCAGCCGCAGATTTGAGCGCCGATTAGAAATGTTAGAACTGGAACACAGTAAGCAGCTGGAATGCCTGCAAGAAACATATCGCGATCAATTGATGGCACATTCTCCTGACTTCAGCAATGTAAGCACTGATGATGAAAGCTTCCGACAGCGATATCAAGCAGAAATCGAGCAACTCAGGGTGAGTTTGACTTTATTTCTAGAAGAAATGTTAAAAACTGAAATAAAATTATATTATTATACTTGTAGACTCTTTGTGAGAAAGGGCTCTCGGCTATGGAATCCTCACATCGGCGAATTGTGGCCGATTTGGAGGAAAAACATCGTCAAGAAATTGAGCGTCTGCTCTTAGAAAAAGAAACCGCTTTAGCTGAGGAAACACAAGTAAGTGGAAGATATATTTTTTAAAAACTATAAATTTTGAAACTTTTTGATTTTAATAACATGACCTTTTCATTAGGCTACCTTGGCAGCTTTGGATGCCATGCGGAAGGCTCATCAGAGCGAAGTACAGCGTGAGGTGGCGCGTTTCAAACAAGAGTTCTTGAAGCAATTCCAAAAAGGCGAACACTCCGCCTACACTGCCAAAGCGAATGAGTAAGCTATAATTTTTACTAATCGTTGCGTATTAAGACAAGAAAAAACGGTAACCTCAGCTCGTTAACCGAAACTAATACACCCTTCACCGGTACATTTCTTTTACTAACTACAATGTGTTCAGTTTGTATGGAAGCTATATGCTATAGTAATCCGATCTGAACAATTTTCTTGGAGATTATATTATTAACTTAAGCAATAATCCATGCCATTTCGTGAAGATTCCACGTCAAATGCGAAAGTTTTCCATACAATCATTTGATTCCGATCGTTCGGTTTATATGGCAATCATATGATATAGTTAACCGATCTGAACAATTTCTGCGTATATTACATTATTATCTTAGAAAGTACTCTGTACCAACTTTTGTGAAGATACATTGTCAAATGTGAAAATTTTCCATACAGGAAATTGATTCCGATTGTATGGCAGCTTTATGTTATAGTGGTCCAATATCCGCAGTTCCGACAAATGAACAGCTTCTTGAAGAGAAAATGACGTTTGCAAAATTTCAAAACGATATCTTTAAAACTGAGAGACTTGTTCGTATATACTATACAGACAGACAGACATACGGACATGCCTAAATCGACTCAGCTCAACATACTGATCATTTATATATATACTTTATAGGTCTCTGACGCTTTCTTCTGGGTGTTATAAACTTCGTGGCAAACTTAATATATCCTGTTCAGGGTATAAAAATAAATATATTTAGAATAACACTGTAAAGTCCAGAAAAATATCTACATATTTTGTTATATGGTATCTCGTTTCGAGGTTTTGTATATTCGCGAGTTTGATACTAAAGATTCCTGATATTTATGCATTGTTATTGAATCTTTGTATAGAAAACCATTTCATCAATACTTACTAATCAAGACTGCTATCGCACAAACGCTCCATTAATTTTATAAAAAAAAACTCAGACCAACTGGAAGTTCGAAAATATTTCTATCAGTAATACGGGGTAATACGGAGACTTTATTTTTCCGATTCAACCCATTTTTAACATGCAGGCATAATAATTTTAGAGAAGCATTTTCTCCAAATTTTTGTAACAGATTGACCGATACTTTCGGTAAAAAGTTCGCAATTGGTACTTCGATCCATGCATTCGTTATCTGGGGACTTCATAGTTTTGGACCGCTTTGAACAGTTATTGGTCGTAATGTAGCCTATTTTATGTGCACTATTCGATGAAAGTTTTCTCACGATACATTCGTTGGCGCTCCCTCACACATCTCAGGTTTAAATATAATGCCCCTGAGGTAATTATTAATAGATTTATCGCGCTTCTAATAGGGTTTGAAGGAACCTTTATATAAGGAGTGAGTTGGGTTATCACCCGATATCATTCATTATTAAAGTTAGTATACGAATGTTTACTTTATTTTATATTTTTAGGGAAGAACTTGAGGAATTGCGACAGGAAATATTGTCATTCTCGGAAAAGTTTTCCATAAAATGCGTTGAAAATGCTTCGTTAGAAGAGAAGTTACGCAGTACAACGCAAAAGTTGAAGCATTTACAGCAAATGCAGCAGCTGGAGTTGAGGTATTTTTAAATGTAAACGGTTCATTTCTATAATTTCAATTAAACTTCCATTCAATATACAGGAATAAACAATTTCGGGCACATTTAGACTCTGAAGACCCGAGAACAGCCACGAAATTCGTGCAAGGCCTTTGCTCAGCGAAGGATGATGGTGTCGTATGCGAAGACAGCGAGGTGGGTTTTTTTTTTAAATATACATACCTAAATATCTGTTAAAATCATAATATAATATAAATATATTATGCTAACTGTTAAATCTTCACAAATTACTAGTTTCACAATTTTCAATATATGTATATGAACCTTAAATATTTTTATTTTTCAAATATCTATTTTTATGCATATTTATTTTGTAAGCAATTGTAACTAATATTTTAATAATTTACTAATGTAAAACTCATGTTGCTATTATTATTTTCTATTTACAAATGTAATTTTTGTGACTATCGTTTCAAAATTTGAAAAAAAAAAAATTACACTCGTATAGGCAAAATCGCATGCGCATGGTGTGTTTCATGAGCTTGCCGATGAGCAAACGGCGATTGTAGAAAATGTGGTACCGGTGCCAATGACGTCAACACAGTACACCACACCACCTACATGTACAATTTCACTAGATATTCATGGAGCATTGGCAACGACTAATCCGTCAGCTTCTACTATAGAAGCACCAACAAAATCAGTCAACAAACAATTAACCACGCTTGTATCAGTTGATAAGAAATATGAAAATATTGTTGTTGATAAACATAGAGAATATGTTAGTGATATTAATCCAAATAGTGATAATAATATTGATGTTGGTGATAATGATGAATTGAATGCCATTTTCTATACATATGAGCCCTGTTATAAGCAAAACAATTTGCACTATTTTCAAAGTAGGCTGAGTTTTAAAGGTAACGGCATACAATAGTATACCTATCTCTATCTTTCTGTCTCTTTCAATTGTCTCATTCTCTGTCTGTCACTACACTTGTTCTTCTGTTCTGTGTTTTAATTTCTGTGTTTTACTGTACTTCTATCTACATATGTACATACAGATATGTATTCTTTTAGAGCACCTGCTATAGTTGTTTTTTGTGGGTGGCGTGTCATCTATGTAAAACTTAAGGAGTACAGTTGAATATAAACTCTGTACTAGTAAACATAGGCTTCTTCAGGATGTTATTTGTCTACTTTACCTAATATACATACATACGTATCTTATTTTAACATTTTGTATAGAAGTCAGTTTCATTTGAATCCAATCTGATCTTGTCAATCTATCTTTGATTCGCGCGAATGAGTAATAATTCGATCATATTACATAAGATGTTAAAACAAATGGGCACTAAAACATAGCTCTCCAAAGTTAAATATATTTCGTCACATTGTTGAATCAATTATTATTTGGAAGCACTAAAAGTTTTGATAGTTTAGGAAATAAATTTTTTTTTTTTTTTTTGTAGTAGAGAAATCCTGTTTTCCACACCAAATTCAGTATTTAACAATACAGAGTGGTTAAAGCTAGGTTAGTTTAGGTCTCAGGGATGATTCAAAACCACCTGCACAGATATTGGTAATTTCTGTTCCCCGAAAACTACAAAAAATTGGTCACCATATCCTCATAGACGGACAAAAGTTTAGATCTTACTACAAATGTATCAAGATCAGTTTGTTGGATTCGACAAAAGTATGTCTACCGATGTCCATCTTGCTTTCCTCCACAAGCAAAGAGCGTCCAGCAAAATATAGCTTAGTCGAAAAAGTTTTAATATTTCTAATCAAACTTCAACTCATATTTTTTTTTTATATTTAGAATGAACCAAATTTGTACCAGTTTGGTTGACCACTTTTCGCCTTTTTCCGCTAGATACTTTATTCCATTAATGTAAAACTTTTTTGATTTCTCGGAGAAAACTGCGATAAAACACCAAAACCAATGGTAGTCCGATCGTGCAAGGACAAGGCTATATGTTGCATCAAAACTCCCCAGCTAAGCTCTCCTAGTTCTTGCCGAGTCATCAAAGATGTATGACGGAAGACGGAGCCCTTTCTGTTAATCATTTCTGGCCTATCAGTTATTGTAAAATGCAGAATCAATCGTTCGACAAGGCAGGAGGAGTTCTTAGTGTATGATTCCTTTCTAATCCCACCAAATACTCAGCATAACCTTTCGAGGCGTCAATCCTGGCTTTGTGACCATTTGTTGAGTTTCACCACGCTTGAATCATGATCTTTTTCGCACATTATTTTCGTATTTCACCAACTTTTCTTCTCCTGATACCACTCACTTCAGAAATGGTTCGATTAGTTTCAGCAGAGAATCGCAGATGTTAATTCGGTTCATAAAATGTTTCACAGACTATTCACCCAAACACCAAACATCTTTATTTTGTAGTCAGCCTTTCCTTAGCGATGTCATTGCTACTTATGTGACGGCCCTAGTCATATAGCGACTATTTTAATTATTTTCAGTCGTGCTTAATTAGCTGTAAATATAATTTTTTTTTCACTAGTCACAAATTTTTCATATCTTTCGGGTAATGCTTGAATACAATTACGGAACATCTATTAATCTTGTGATCAAGCAATTTTTCAATCTCATCTTGTTAGTGGAATGAGTCTGAGCGAGACCATGTGTCATCGAACCCATCGAACGGAACAAATAATAATCCGACAGTGCACAACAGGAGATTATAGAGGGTGGGGTAGAACTTCCCATTTAAGCGGTTTCAGGTAGGTTTTAACGGCTTTGGTAACCTGAGTCCTAGCGTTGACATGCAGCAGAATAAATTTTATTAATTATTCCCAGCGCAAGTAGTCGCTTTGAATTGACGTGGCGGGTGACTCCTAGTACTCAAGCAAGCTATTCTTGAATTTGACACGGATCATCGGAAGGTTCTTCACGCGGACGGTCGTTAATATCGAAATTGCCGTGTTTGAAGCGACGAGACCTATTACAAGACGTGTTCCGTGTGGGGCAGCACCTCAGTAATCCAAAAGTATATGACACATGTCATATATATACACATGACACAAAGTCACTATGTTGGAAACGCAGTTTCATTTTCAAATATCTATCTATAGGTTAAGTGATAATGCTTTGGATATATTATCGCCATAAACTGCTAGAGGCATTATTGACAAACAGTGGGAAATGTATTAACTTAGTAATCTTTTCAACTAGTTTTATTTATATCAAAGGAGGCCTAATTAGAAAATATAACTTAAAACCAACCAAATTAACTTAAGGCATTAAACCAACGACAGCAGTGCTTTAAACAGACATATATAGTATTTTCTGTTTTATTTCTGACAGTACTGTCATGTATGTATATAAGTTTGTACATATATAAGGATGTGTTCCAAAACTACTATCAAAAAAATGCAAATCATTTTATAGATATTCAAGTCCATCTTTTTGAATTTTTTTTTATATACTCGTAAAGACTCGCCTAGTAAATCACTTGTAAAATTACTTCAGAGTGGTATGTGTTTATTAATATATCATTATTTTCTCATTCATATCTGCAATCTCTGTGCGGCACCGTTCATTGTTTCAACTGAGCCAATCATTATACTTCTAGGTTTTCTGGACTATACTTTCACCGCTTCCATTAATACACAAAAAAACAAGAAAATAAAACATATTAATACCATTTGATATAAATACATATTAGTCATTCAATTATTAACATATTATTTTGCTCAACATCAAATTAGGTTTAAAATCTTCCACGTTCGGCAAGAGATTGAGAACAACCTCACGAAAATGCACGACAGACGCTGCCAGCAGCATGCAACCAATAGCAACATGCGCGTCAACAACAACAACGAAATCGTCACCAGCATCATCCAACAGAGCGTCGTTGACTACAGCAACAACATTTACGCCACAACAAGCAGAAATCCGGATTAGTGCAAGCCCCGCAAAGAGCATGGAGACAATTAAAATGCTTGAGAGCAGTGTGGCTGGCCAAAACTGGCAGTTAAAGCAGCGAGTTGTGCAAAAAGAACAGGCCGCAGATTTGCAAAAACAACAAGAACAATACATAAGCACTTTAAAACTAAACCAAAAGCAACAATCTGAGCAAGAGCCGATTATAGATGCGCCCTTGGCTGTTGCAGCGGACATATTAATTACTTCAAATAGTCACAAGTCAAAAGCAACAACAAAATGTAGCAATATACAAGAAATGACAAATGCAAAACCCACAAGCAATCCCAATCCCTCTTCATCAACAATAACATTAACACGAACAAAACCAGTGGAGCAACCAAAGATTTCTAGTGCTAATAAACATATTTATAATCCTAATTATAATAATAATAATAACAACAATAACAATAATCAAAGCAAAAATATCCCTAATATTAGTAATACTAATAGAAATGTTAATACTAAAAATATTATTGTTGAAAGTAGTAATATTAATGTACATAGTGTTAGTGCAAAAAATACTAGCAGCAGCAACAAAAACAACAGCAACGGTAAGAGTTTAGTGTTTGCAACGTACGAGGAAAGCAATAATGCTGTCGTAAAAACACAACCAATAATACAGGAGTGCACTGTAACAACAACAAAAGCAGCAAATTTAACAACAGCAACAACAACAAAAAAACCAAGAGCCCTCGGTTACATGCACGTGGCCGAACGTAATGCCATCAATTTAAATAGTTTCACAGATTTTGTACGCAAAACAACAACAATTGCTAAAGATACAACAACAAAAGAAGAAACCAAATTTGGCCGCACTTACGCTGACTCCAATGAAAGCAACAACGATGATGATGTTGGTGATGATACGCCGCAACCAAAACAACAGCAGCATGCAATATTTGGCAACAGCAACAACAATACGCAAAGTGTTAGTAAAGTATATAATACAACTACAGCTACAGCAGTGTTGGGTAGGCGTGCGCACGCACAGATCCCATTTTGTTCGCCCACTTCCGTTTCGAGCGGAAGTGAAGCTGAGCATGCGACTATGTCCACAACAACGAAAATACGAACGCCATCCAGCACCGCGACGAGAAGACCGACAAATGCGATTCAAAAACACTTGAGACGATTCGAATTGGAGATTTAGCAAATGGCTCATATTTTTTTCCTAAGCTTGCTATGATATGTAAAATACTTATATATAATTATAATAGAAAATTATTACCCGTTATCATACGCTGAAATTCAAAATATGCCAAACTATGAAACTAAAAATGCCAGCTAGAAAATAATGCTGATAATTTTGATATTTACAATTATATATCCTACGCAATCTATGAAGTTATATACATAGTAAGACGTATCCGTATTATAAAATATAAACTAAAAAATTGGAAAAAATCTTGAAAATTGTTTTGAACAACTGTTTTTCCCTCGTGTTGAAATTAAATTAAATTTTGTAACACTGATAATTTTTATTTTAATTTTTTATGAATAAATTTATAATTTAACAAACCATGTAAATTCAGAGTTAATAATAGTCAGAGTTGTTCCAAGGCCATAAATGAATAAATAATTTTTTAATGAACTTTTATTTAAATACATTTTAATTCACTACCGGCCAGGCCGGCTTCTTTAACAAAATGTTTTTACGGCACTACTTTTTTCATACAACGCTTTCTGTAAGCAGAAGCGTTAGTGTTTGTTTTTGTTGTTTGTTTGTTAGGCAGGCAAAGTTAATAGTATGCACATTTTAATTTAAAGTTTTTTTGATTTAATGTATTCCATAAGAAATATGAAAGCAATTTATTAATGTTAACATATACCCCTTATGTATTGTATATTATTATTACATAATTATTAAAAATTAATATTCACTTGCATTTTGTGTTAACCTTAACAAAGAAAATTATACAAAATATTGAAAACATTATATAATGTTATATTTAAAAAAATAATTCATATGCTACTGCATACATATGTATATGTGGTAAGCATATGTTTCTGTTTCAGAATAATTAATAATTTTATTGTATGTAGTGAACGTCTTTCCCTCTAGACTCTTAATTATGTTATATAATTCACGTATGTTATACTAAACACCAATTTTCCTCTACGCTATCTATCGAAAGTTTATGATATACATACATAAATAAAAATGCGCCTTTGAAAATTGTTAAACAATTTTTTTATTTTGCAGTAAAATAATATAAATCACAAGGAAATGTAAAATAAGAAAAAAGTCAACTTTAGTTACACCGCAGTTAGAAAACGCTTCACATATAAAGAAATTTCCTTACTAGAACTTGACTTTGATCGTTCAGATTGTCAAATTTTGTAAAGATATCTTGTCAAGTAAAAATGTGTTTTGCTACAAGAACTCAATTTCGATTATTGTTTGTATTACAAGCAATTATCAATAGTACTGAATTTTCGAAGGATTAAATATTCCTATTGATTCAGTTATGCTGCTCAACACACTTTGCATAGAAAGTCAAGTTTACAAAATAACATTTATATACTAAATTCTAGGCTTACTCATATTAACTGGGCCATTCATGTAGCTAGCTCTTAGGCAAACGCGTATTGGTTTAACGAAAAATTCATGCCTACTGTGAAGCATGGTAATGGTGGCGCAATGATATGGAGGTACATGCTAGTAATTATGTGGATCGAATAGCTCTATAATTTTTAACATCTCAATTGGAAGATACTATTAAGAGTAAAGAACCCAAACATACAATAGGCATAGATAAGCTATTGCTAGTTGAGTCAGTCTAATTTCGATCTTTGTTTACTTTTTCGTCAGTCTTAGTTTCGCGGATAACGAGTAGGAAATAAAAGTGACTATAAAATATCCGATACAGGAGCCATACTCGACCGGACAGTGTAGTGAACATTGGTTGTATGCCCTACTTTCTGATACAAAGGAAAGAGCCGTAAATCGATTCTTTATATTCACTCGTATAGATGCCAAAACTTTTACAGAGCTTCAAAGTACTGAGTTGTTGATAATATTTATGGCAATAATTTGGCCTACCATAAGAGAATGACTTCTATAAACACTATGATAATGATTTGAACGAATTGGAGGATCATTTTGTGGGCATGATAATGCACTAAATATCACAAATCTTAATTTATACCTTGAAAGGATTTAAAGACGCACGGCAAAATCATTTAATCATTTCAATCTGAACATTTTGTACAACACTAGAATTTGTCTAAATTCGATTTATTTTATATCCTTTTTTTTGTGCTGTCAACATTTGCAGAGATGTTACGCAAGCATATTAGTTGATGACATGCAGTGAAAATTTTCAAATTGCATAAATTATATTTATTTGCAGATCTCCCCTAGTTATCATTGAAGTAATCAAGGAAATACTATGTAATATTATTAACAATCGTAATATGCTTGGATAACTAGAGTGCTTCAAGTGTTATACAATTTTACTGATTAGTTGTCTAGAATGATTGTGTTTTTAAAATAGCCGTTATTTACAACAACAAAATTAATACATTTCTTTATTACAAAATAAAATAAGGTAATTCTCTTGGGCTCGTCCGGGATTTGAACCCGGGACCTCCCGCACCCTAAGCGGAAATCATACCCCTAGACCAACGAGCCAGTTAATAAATAGCTTGCCAACAAATAGTTTCGATCGTTTTTCCAATTGGACCAATTGCAAGCGATCGTATTTTAGACCAATTGAAATATATGATAACTATAAAAAATATATTGTAATTACAATAAAAAAGCCAACAAAAAGTAATTATGCACATGCGCATATTTATAAGTATATTTTAACGTCAATGTATGACTAGGCAAACTCTTATAGGATTAGATTTTTCGTACCTGCATAAAACCAATCGGAATATATTGTATGTACATATGTAGATGTAGTGCAACATATGTATCTATAAGTGAACGTATGAAAAGAGAACTGACATCACTGCTACTATCTGGCGTCTAATTTAACTACAGTCGAAACTCGATAAGACGGCTATTCAGCAATTAATATACAATTTTCTGTAATATTTCAAAGGAAATGTGTGTTTGTGTTTTAAAGGAGGTGAAACTTCAATAGTCACTGAACATCAGAGGATCTATTGTATTTCAATATTATTCGGATTTAACACTATGTTACACTAAAATCCACTGTTTCTTTCACTTTTTAATTTTATGAACTCTAATTAACGACAGGGCTTCAGTTAATCATACCACAAATCTCCGACAAAGCTTTTTTTTCAATTCGATTTTTACTACTTCCCAAGCGGTTTTATGGTTGGACTGATTATACTAAAACTTTTATTCCTTTACTTTAAAACTATTGAGTCTCCACTTTCATGTTTCATGTGTGCTTTGGGCTTTGCAGAAAACTCAAGTAAGTCATTATTTCAGTTCCTTCACGACAGTTTTTTGACAGATTCTACTTATATATCTTGGTTATGGCAAAATGAGTCCGGAAATATCTTCAACACAATAATATGTCTACTGACAGGAGTACTGGACATGAGCATAATAATTTCACCAGTTATTTGGAAAGTTGATACTCGTTTCACATTAATAACAGGGTTGGCCTACAAACAGGATGTGGCAAAGAAATATTTGAAATTTTCGTTGTTAATTAATATACTGACCTAGTACCATCACCCTGACTTAGAATTTCTCACCCCCCAGATTAGCTGTTGTACTGTGTAATTAGACATATATGTTTCGTAATGAATCAGTGTTCCTTAAAGCAAATTTGTTGGGGTACAGGTTCGATATTTAGAATGTTAAAAAAGCAGAACTTTTGCCTAAAAATCGATAAATGAAAGTCAAGAAAGTTATACAGTTTAATTTCCCTAATTCGAATCCCCATAATCCACAAAACCACTTGGAGTTAGAGAGACTTCCACTTATAAAAGTTTTTATTAAAACGTAAAAAATAAAAGAAATGTAAGTAGATTCAATAGATTCTACAAAATCAACTGTTGTAAGTTTGGCTGAGCAAATCTCATTATCCACCTCAATGTAATCTGTATTAGTAACGATTAAAGGGATAAATACGGCGACTTCTACGTTAGTGAGATTTCCCCGAAGAGAATCACGCACCCATTGAAAACTCGATTTGTGGTAGAAAATTTTACTTTTATTGTCAATTCAACAGTTCGAGTTATTCGAGTTATGAAGTTTAACTGTATATAATTATGAGCGAATGGTGCTAAATGCCGAGCGAAATATTTGGTATGTAAAAATGCAAATAACTATAATACTGTGTCTGAAGTCTATGCCAGTGAAAATGTTTAACATATGTACATCTAGTTTTCATTTTTATTGTGTTATGTTAAACAATGATATTTATAAAAAGTAGTTACGACCTTGGGCTCGTCCGGGATTTGAACCCGGGACCTCCCGCACCCTAAGCGGAAATCATACCCCTAGACCAACGAGCCAGTTGTTCAAATGTGGACAAATGCATTATTTGTGCATTGATTACGGAATGGAAAAGTAAGGTATGTATATGTAATTCTCTATTATTCACTAAGTTACATATTCTCATCGAAAATGTGGTGTGAATAAAAAATAATACTGAGGTCAAAAAATAGTAAGACTTTTTAATATATGATATGACTGCATGTGACATCTGTGCCAAAAGTCACATCAAAATAAGCATTAGTGCTAAGTATATAAGGGCCTTCCAAAGTAAACAGGACGTTAAGAAAAAAACAGAACAAATGGATTATTCGGTTTTTCCTTCTGCTTCAATACAGCCCTTTGCATGGTCCAAAAACATATTAAACGAGTGTTTTAGTTCGTTGGCCGGTATGGCCGCCAGTAGAAGGAAGAAGTCGCACGGTGCCATATCAGGTGAATACGGGGAGTGGTCAGTAGTTAAAATGTGATTTCTGGTCAAATAACCGTCCTTCGAATGTTGGATTCTGAGCAAATTTTGGTCGTCAGTTAATGTTAAACGTCATTTATGTCTTCACGACCACTTTGGCAATCATCGCCATCGCCACGGGTTAGGCAATCATCGCCATCAATGAAATTAAGTAATTGGTGCTTGAGAATGGATGGTTAATAGTCAGAGATCTTACTGGCATCGTTGGAATATCGGAAAGTTCTTCGGAATATCAATGAAAACGATTTTGAAGTTCTTTTGTGCCCAAATGAGAGCATGATTGGTTCCAAAATCACTAAATTCAACTGGCGTTGAGTCTTAGGTCTATGCTTATGACCCGGAAAAAGATTATCATGGCTAAGGTGAACCAAAACCGAAAAAACACTTCAATGTAGGACAAAAATCAAGGTTTTGTTAACAGTTTTCTTCGATTATCGAAGTGTGGTGCACTCCGAATTCCTTTTGACCAGCCAAATTGTTAACAAGGAATACTATCTGATTGTTCTACGTCATTTGCGGGAAGCTATTCGTAATAGCTATTCGGCCGGA